AATTCTTCAGTGAGACGTTTTGCTGAAAAGAATTAAAACATTCAAGCTCTCATACTTTGATATTCATTCTTAGAATTAATTTCATTGTACTTAAACTTAAGAGAAATATCACTGTTGTAATTAAAGCTTTTTAGAAGCATTCTTACTCTTGTATTAGATTTACATTGATTGTAAAGGATTTCCTTAAGAGGATTCAGTTGGAATCAGTAGCTCTTGAGAAGACTAAGAACAGTTGTTCTTAGGTGTTACTATTGTAATCTGTTTGATTAAATAGTGGATTAAGTCCTTGTTTGAGAAAGGCAAATCACTCTAGGAAGGGTGGACTGGAGTAGTTGAGTTCAACGAACCAGGATAAAAATACTTGTGTTTTAATTCTAAGTTTTACTCTTTCATACTTATTCAACCCCCCTTCTAAGTATTACCTCACCTTCAAGGTTGAGCGAGAGCAAGGAGTGGTCATCCATGATGTCTTCTTGCAACACTATTATTTCAAGCATCAAGTAAAATCAGCATTACCTGAATTCGTATTCTACTAAGTTTTATTACAATCGTATATTTCATTGTACAATATCTTTTGATTATGATGAGTTATTATGAAATCTCAAAACACGTAAGTGCATTATTTCTTCTTATTTTCATTTCTTCTTGATTTTTAATTGTTGTTCTTACATTATAGTGACCAACCTCTGGTTATTCAATGTGCTGGAGTTGGAAATGATACAACTGTAGCTGGTGTCATTGATGATATTATGGATATTCTGGATTTATTTCCTTGAGGGTTGCATGTTATTCTCAGCTATAACAAGTGTTCAAGCATGTGGTAATATGTTTAGTGCAAATCATTCTTCCTAACATAGAATCACAAGCATATTACATCATTCTTCCTGATCACATTGTTTTACTGTTTTGTTTAATATTCAGGTTAATAGCTTGGAAGAGGCCATAAACATTATCAACAAAAACAAGTACTTATTCAACATGCGACTATTGTCATTGCCTTTTGTTAAACTTCTGTTTATTTACTTCTTATTAATCTAATGTTTCTAAAAGGTATGGAAATGGTGCATCTATATTTACTACTTCTAGTGTTGCTGCAAGGAAATTTCAGACCGAGATTGAGGCTGGGCAGGTAAAATTTATTACTTCTTGGAAGCACTACAACAAATAATAATGCTTGTAAATTCCAACCAGTATATGCATTAAGAGGTGTTATTTGTTAACCAATCACATTGCATTTTAACATGAATCTTGGACCAGCTTGGTGTCAAGGTTCCTATTCCAGTTGCTTTGCCATTTTTCACATTTACTGGCAACAAGGCTTTATTTGCTGGCGATCTCAATTTCTATGGTAGAGTGATTTATACAAAATCTGGCTCTTATTCAATCATTTCACTTACATTGTTCAATAGTTACATTTTTCTTATGATATAGGCATAGTGTTTGATTTGAACTTGATATTATGCTTTGTTGAATTGTAGGCAAGGTAGGGGTGAACTTTTTTACACAGATCAAAACAATAACTCAGCAGTGGAAGGATTCAACAGGCGATAGCAAGATTAACTTGGCAATGCCAAGCTCTCAAAAATATTGATTGTTTGAGAGTCATGTGTATAATTTTCTATTATGTTTTAGAACCTTTGCACTCTTCAATAAAATGCCATAGCTTTGCACTCTTGTGTACTTTCTTTTCTTTTTTCTCCTGCTTTTTATCCCCATATCCTTCTCGTGTTTTCTAAAATGATGGCTTATGTTTTAGGAACAGAATCCATTAATATTATATCCATCCACATAAAGCTGTCTTATAAATTGCTTCAGGTTTACCTTGAAATATGACAAAAATATATATATACTTGAAAACCTAAGGGTTGAAAATACATTAAAACCCTTTCTAATAGGATTCTTAGAATGGGTTGTTAACTTTCAAATTTATACCTAACTTACACAGAATGCAAAAAAACGAAATGATTTGTCAGGCGTAATGAGAATGAATTCTCAACATGAACTCAACAGAAAAGAAAAACAACTATCAAAAGATAACATTTTCTAAGCTCACTTTTAAATATTACTATTATCAACCAGAACTCAACTTCTATTATTTTTCTTAGAAAATAAAATAAAAATTTATGTCAGTTTCATGAAAATTAATTTTACTAAAATCTCAAGAAATGTACAAGTATTTTCATTTAATCCTCCACAACAATGTCAAGGAGGCTTCTTACCCCAATTCCCATTTTCAGCTTCATTTCAAGCAATGCCAATGTTCCTAAGGTTCTTTAAACTGTCAACTTTGCTTTGCATGTTAGCCAAATGTTTCTTCCTATTTAAGTGAGAGACAACATTGTTCTCACAATGCAGGACAACATTACAGGCTCTACACATTAATTTGGAATTTTGTATGCTAACAGGCTCAAACATGTTCTTTTGCAGTTTTCCACCTTATTATCCAAAACCGCCTTCAGCACTTTGTTAACAATACCATCTCCATTTTTGACCTTGGAATTTAACATATTGTTAACATTCTTCTGTTTCACCTCCTCTTCTTTGTTAACAATACCATCTCCATTCTTGACCTTGGAATCTAACTTATTGCTAACATTCTTCTGTTTCACATCCTCTTTGGGATGATTGATTTTCAACTTCTGCAGAGCAGTTTGCTTCTTTGCTTTCAAAGCTGCTTCATAACTAGCCATATGTTTCTTTCCATTGAGGTTCGAAAACAAGGTTACCTTGCTCGATGTTGTTACCAAACATAAGGCACAAGTTCACTCTTTCTGCACTTCTTTCAGTCTAGAAGAACTTTGAGGAATCTCTCCACTAGCTCTGTCACTCTCTACTGTTGCTCTGGTTTCTACTATGTCTGATGATGATGCCTTTTGACTTGCCACAGTATTAGCATAGGTTCTCTAGCAACAACAACAATGGCCACAAAAATCATAACCACATCCATACAATTTATATATAACAAAAATATACTTGTAACTTGTAAGCCTAAATATCATATAATCATATAATCATCAGCGTATCTTTTAGGTCCTAACCGAGGGCCTCAACAGATTATGTTATACCAGGTGGATTTTCACATGAACTCTTTTAGGTCCTAACCATAAAAAACAATAAAATAATAGTTATGGCAAATACAGTGCAAGTATCTGCTTTAGTTTAAAATCTGTAACAATAGTTTCAACCACGTTTCTAAGTTTGTTAAATTTGTTTAAATTGTATTCAATCTTTTACAGTCTGTAAAGGGTTTATGTAATCAGTAGTGAATGTTAAAGATATAGACAATATGTTCAAGGGATTTTTTTATCATAGTTTTTCAAAGAAAATATGCAAGCAAAATAGTCAACTCACTCAATTTTTATTAATATTTCTTTTCCCTTTTTTTACCATTAGAATGAGTTTAATTATGCCCTCTCCTACAGTATTATTTAACCAGTCAATTTATATTCTTCAACAGGGAACTATGAATAAATATTCACAGTATGCCGAACTTGGTCTATACAACGTGCCTTGAAAACTTTCTGCTCTTAAAGGATCATGATTTTTGCTGCAGTAAGGAGCATGACAAGGTCTATAAATAGCTCGTTAGAAGAACACATTTGAGTCTCTTATTTCAGGGGACAAGAGATCAGCACATGAATTCACAAGGTATGTTTTTGTTTCAAATAGACATTAGAGTGAATTCAATGTAGGCATAGAGATACATATTCTTTCTTCAATTGATTAGGATGATATTTTGTCCAAATTTGAAAGTTTGATCAATATCAAAGTTCGTCAGTGCGCTTTGTATGCTTTCCGTTATTTTTTTCTTCTTTGATATGTCAATGATGGACATGGTTTAAAGTGAGTCTTTGTGATTGGTAATTGAACATATGGAATCGATCTCGGCAAGCTCTTCATTTGAGGAATATCTTGGGACACTTATAAGGAACGTCTCAAGGAGTATTTTGCCACATATGGGAAGGTGATTGAGGCTGTGATCATGCGAGATCACGCAACAGGGCGTGCTCATGGTTTTGGTTTTGTTGTCTTTGTTATCTTAGATTTGGTTCTTCTTGCTGAGCTTAGGTGTTGAATTCATCGGAAATCCGAACACGGGGTCATTATCTGTTCCTTAAACTATTTTGTTTATTCAATTGTCAAAAAATGAGCTAAATGTATTGGTTTTTTTGATTTATTTACATGACAAATTTCACTCATTTCATTCAGTTGCAACCATCCTCAGTTACCTCACTAAGGCTCATACTCTCCCATAGGTACACCAGTAGTGAATGTATTGTTAAAGTAGAGGGTTATCTTGGAAAATATTATGAGAGTTGTGGTGGATTACCTCTTGAGAACAATATGATACTTGAAGCATTTCATGAATATCAAAACATTGAGAAACTCTAATATATATGAATGTTAATTGTTATTCTCTTACGTGTAAAACTCTAACATGATTTTAGATCTCTATTAGTACCAGCATGTATTCATTATTTTTAATATGTCAAGTCATCATAAAATTTGGTGTAATCCAACTCACTCACAAATTTTAAATGTATACTTTTAGCAATGTCTAGTTTTTAGCAATTATAGTACAAGAAGCATGTCCACTTTATGGAAAGAGATAGAAAAAAAATCATATAACATATTTTGTTTTGTACTGTCTAATCCGAATTCAATCTTTTAGGTTACATGCTTTTATATATACTTTTTTTAATTTTACACAACAATACCTTTTTTTTTATTTTAATCAATAAAATATTTGTAAATATTTATAGTTATTAGTGATATTTGTAAATATTTTAGTTACTAGACATATTGGATTTATGATATTGGTAATTTGCTACATCTTTACTTTTAAATATTTGTAGTTATTAATAATTCTATAATGACAATTATATATTAGCAACAATTAATCCTTATCAAAAGATCTAAAATATGAATGGACTTACTCGTGCGACGCACGGTCTTCTACTCATTATTATAATAATAATACCAATACATGAAAGATTAAACTATATTTGAGCCATTTGTTGAATATTGATGGGGTAAACGTCATTTGGTGGGCCATTAACAGCTCTCCAAGCAAAGACATATACTGCAGACTGTGTCGGGTGGAAAGCATCCCAAAACAAATATTTTTCTCTTGAGAAACATGGCAATTGCATTGGAAGACATGATATTTGCCCTCTATTCCTTCCAACCCCACAACAAGCTCTATCAACAACACTAAATGCTGCAACAACAAAAAAAAATCTTATCAATGATTCGAAAACAATTGAATATTGTAAGCTATAAATTTAACAAAAAACCTAATATCTTACAATAGGCTGCAGGGTTATTGAGAATATCTCCAAAGACACCATAGGTGTTTCCATATGCAAAGATAGCATCACGATGATCCCTGTTAAGCTGCTCAAGTGTTGATCTGAGTCCTGTATTGTAAAATCCAACAATTTGATTTACCGAATCCACACATCTTCCTATAGGTGCTGAACCAGTAGCTCTTTGATTAGGACTGCAACCAAGTGGTCCAACTCCCGCTATGAAGAACTTCCTCAATCCTAAGCTGTAAAGTGCCTTCAATACAACATAACTTATAAATTAATTCATTTTATTTACACAATATCAACATGTTTCATACAAATGATCAACCCTATAATAATTTACCAGAAGTTGTCGCGCGAGAGTACTGGTCAAAAGATTGGCAAATACTGGGGCTGTATAATTGGAACTGCTGCCATAGAATCCAGGTAGGAGGTAGTTGTTGATGTAGTCATTGTTTCCAGTCACCACAATTACTATAGACTTGCCTAAGAATTGATTCAATTCAATTGGATTCATCATTGTCTTATACTGATTCAATGTGCTCCGAAAGCTCTGAACTTGCCTGTTCATGCTAAGCCTATCACCCTGCATCACATCATTACAATTTTAATTACATATTATTACTACATACATTGTTTCAATTCTTCATTTGTATTAAATAGAAGAATAAAAAGGTAAGAATAATTGAGAAAAGTGTATCAGTACATAGAGTCTTCCTGATTCATCAAGAATTCCAGCCGAAGCTGATGCATAATTCACTCCATTAAGTATTTTGGATCCAGTTGTTGAAGGGTCTAAAAAGGGTGGAGGAGAAGGAACACCCAACATATTTGCTGTAGAGAGTAAAATAAATTAAAGCAAGATTATAGAAATAATAGTTAATATTAAAAATTGCTTCAGTCAACTTTAAATCTGTGTTGCTGTATTTGTGAGGTATTATTCGATTTAGATGTGAGACTATGCAATTTTATTTTTTATAAAATGCATTAAATATAAATTATTTTTATTTTCAATTTTCGGTAATGTGAGACTATTATAGTATACCGGAAAAAATAAAAGAATTTTTAATATATAAACCAAATTTAAAATAAATAAAATGAATGAGAAAATTTACCAATGAAATCAATGAGGGATCTTCCGTTGGAAAATCTCCCAGTAGCAACCCTGTTGTAATCAATACCATATGGATAGAAATTTGATTTTGCTAAGGTATTAAGGAAATTGTTGTTACCAACTTCAACAATTGAATCTCCAAAAACAAACAAAGCAGGGACCTTTTGTGAGTTCACATGAACCGCCCCATTAAAACATAGCAAAACTAGAACTAGAAGCACCATAGATTTCATTATACCCTTTCCCTTCATTGGAATTGTGAGAAAATAATATGAAAGTTTGAGTTGGAAATTGGTATATATATATATATATATATATATATATATATATATATATATATATATATATATATATATATATATATATATATATATATATATATATATATATATATATATATATATATATATATATATATATATATATATATATATATATATATATATATATATATATATATATATATATATATATATATATATATATATATATATATATATATATATATATATATATATATATATATATATATATATATATATATATATATATATATATATATATATATATATATATATATATATATATATATATATATATATATATATATATATATATATATATATATATATATATATATATATATATATATATATATATATATATATATATATATGAAATGGTTTCTTTTTCTTTTACAAGAATCCAACTCATTCTCATTATTTTACAAGTTTCTTTGTCTTTTTTCATGCTTTTTGTTAACTCACGTTTTTGTTTTTATTTCCTTTTTATTGTTATGAAATGAGTTTTTGTGTGTCATCTCCTAAATTTTCATGCATATGTTACTTTCTTACAATTATTCCATGAATTCATGCTAAAAAGAATAATTGAAAGTTATTTTGTCAATTAAGTAAAATGAATGAATTTGAAAAATCTTTTGGACATTATTTGAATTTTCAAAGTTTTTTTATATACATATAAATACTATATCGTTACTATGCACACAAACATCTCTTTTAACGTTATTTTAGACAGAAAACGAAGTATTGTAACTTGATCTATACAATAAGCTAGAAGCATGAGTCATGTGCCCTTCAAATGAAATTAAAATTACCGAGCCTTTTCTTTTCTGCTCTAAAGATAAAGAACCAATCTAATGTGCTAGTTTTTCAATTTTGACATAACAAAAAAAAAAGAAAAATAAAATTATAATTTTAAGAGAGAGAGGTTATTTTCTTATTCTTGTATACTTGTAATCTTGTTTTAAAAGTAAGGAAAGAATAATAGTTTATAATTAATCATTGTTGTTCCTTGTTGTTTTACTTTGTTATCTTTATTAACCATAACCCTTGTGTGTTTCTTGATCATAAAAAAACCGTTTATACTTTGTTATAAGGTATCCGATTCACAACAAATTGGTCCTGTGAGCGTGGAAAAGATGCCTTCAACAAAGTATGAGATTGAAAAGTTCACCGGAGTGAACGACTTAGGTCTGTGGCGCTTGAAGATGAAAGCCCTACTGATTCAGCAGGGTTGTTTGAAAGCGTTGAAGGAAGAGACTGACATGGACGTTGCGTTAACGGAAAAAGAAAAGACGGGCATGATCGAGAAAACCCACAACGCAATATTGTTGAGTCTTAGCGATAAAGTTCTTCGACAGGTATCAAAGGAGACTATAGCTTCAGGATTATGGGTGAAACTTGAAAGTTTATACATGATCAAATCTCTGGTGAATTGACTTTACCTGAAGCAAGCTTTGTATTCATTCAAGATGAGTGAAGACAAAGTGTTGGCTAAGCAGTTGGATATGTTCAACAAGCTGATTCTTGATCTTGAAAATATTGATGTGAAGATCGATGATGAAGATCAAGCATTGTTGTTGCTGTGTGCTTTGCCCAGAACACATGTTGACTTCGAAGAAACTCTCTTGTATGGAAGGGAGTCCCTGACCTTTGAAGAAGTTCAACCAGCCTTATATTCTAAGGACTTGAACAAACAGAAGGAGCATAAACCTTCGACGGTGGGCGAAGGTTTGGCCGTTAAGGGAAAATTCTTGCGAAAGGATGGTAAGTTCGACAAGAAGAAAGGTAAAAGTCAACAAAAGTTTTATAGTGGCGAAACATCTGGTATTCGATGTTATCACTGTAAGAAGGAGGATCACACAAGAAAGGTGTGCCCTGAACGTCTGAAAGATCATGGAGGTAATGGCAACGCAGCCATTGTTCAAGATGGCTTCGACTCATCTGATGTTCTTATGGTTTCAAGTGGCGACTCGAGAAAAGAGTGGATTATGGATTCAGGTTGCACTTGGCACATGACTCCAAACAAAGAATTGTTTGAGGAGCTATGTGATCAAGATGGTGGGTCTGTGCGGCTGGGAAACAATGAATTTTGCAAAATTATAGGTATTGGATCTATGAGATTCAAGCTCCATGATGAGTCAATAAGGTTATTGACTGAAGTTAGGTATGTACCTGACTTTAAGAGAAATTTGATTTCTCTTGGTGAATTCGACAGAAAGGGATATGTTTTTCAAGGAGAGAAAAGTATCCTAAGAGTCATGAAGGGGTCGAAGGAAGTCTTGAGAGGTGTGAAGAAACAAGGGTTGTATACCCTCGAGGCTGAGGTTGTAAGTGGTTTGACAAATGTTGCATCCACGAAACCTGTGTCGAAGACAGAATTATGGCACATGAGATTGGGCCATGTCAGCGAAAGAGGTCTGGTCGAAAAGTTGGAATTTTGTGAATCTTGTGTATTTGGTAAATCCTGTAGGGAGAAGTTTAACAAAGGCAAGCAAAGAACACATGGATCCCTGGATTACATTCATGCTGATCTTTGGGGGCCTGCAAGGAATCCTTCACACTCAGGTGCGAGGTATTTTCTATCTATCGTTGATGACTATTCCAGAAAGCTATGGGTATTCATTCAGAAGACGAAGGATGACACTTTTGAGAATTTCAAAAAGTTGGAAGATTCTGGTCGAAACTCAAACTGGCAGAAAGGTTAAGAGTTTGAGAACCGACAATGGCCTTGAATTCTGCAACAAAGCGTTCGACAGTTATTGTGTTGAGTATGAGATTGCAAGGCATAAGACTGTAGCAGGTACTCCTCAACAAGATGGCTTAGCTGAGAGATTCAATCGAACAATCCTTGAAAGGGTTAGATACATGTTGGTTAGTGTTGGATTGAAAAAGGTGTTTTGGGCAGAAGCTGTTTCGACAATAGCTTACCTGATACGTAGATGTCCCTCGATTGCCTTGAGAATGAAGAAACCTAAAGAAGTTTAGTCGGGACATCCACCTAGTCTTGACAAACTAAGAGTATTTGGCTATATGGCCTATGCTCATATTAGGCAAGACAAGGTCGAACCTAGAGCTCTGGAATGCATGTTCATGGGATACCCTGAAGGAGTAAAAGCTTATAGGCTATGATGTCTAGAGCCAGGTCATAAGAGGTGTGTCACCAGTTGAGAAGTTATTTTCAATGAAGCAAAGATGGATTTCAAGAAAACTGATGATGCTGACGAAGAGCTGGAACAAGGAGAGATTCCTGTTGAGGTGGAGCATGTTGATGTTGAATTGCATACTCCAGATGAAGTCGAAGAAGACACAAAAGATGTTGTCGAAGATGATGAGACTGATAATGACTACCTGCTAGCAAGAGATAGGTCGAGGAGAGTCATCAAGCCACCTCAGAGACTTGGGTATGCAGATCTTATAACTTATGCCTTAATCTCTACAAGTGAGGTTCTAGATGAAGAACTTAGAGACTATAAGGAAGTTATGAGGAGTCGAAAGAAGACTGAATGGATGAAGGCCATGGATGATGAGATAAAATCTCTTCATGGTAACAACACCTGGGAGCTGATCAAGAAACCTATTGAAGCTAGATTAGTCAGTTGTAAATGGATTTTCAAAGTTAAGGAAGGAATCAAAGGAGTGGCGTCGAAGAGATACAAGGCAAGATTGGTTTCTAGGGGGTTCACTCAGAAAGAAGGTGTCGACTTCAATGATGTGTTCTCTCCTGTTATGAAGCACATGTCCATTCGAATGTTGCTTGCCATGGTGGCACAGTTCGACCTTGAACTGGAACAAATGGATGTGAAGACTGCGTTCTTGTATGGTGATTTAGATAAAACAATCCTGATGAGGCAACCTGAAGGGTATTTTGAAAAAGGGAAGGAAGATTATGTGTGCAAGCTGAATAGATCCTTATATGGACCGAAACAATCTTCTTGACAGTGGAATAAGAGATTTGATAAGTTCATGACACGCATAAGTTTCATCAAAAGTCAGTTCGACCATTGTGTTTACTTCATATTTCGACCGGGTGATTCATTTGTTATTTTTTTCTCTATATGGATGATATTCTAATAGCAAGCAACAATGTCGAAGATGTAATGAGGGTGAAGGCTAAACTCAATAAGAAGTTTGACATGAAGGATATGGGAGCTGCGTCCAGGATTCTTGGGATTGACATCCAAAGAGATAGAAAGTCGTCGAAATTATGCTTATTTCAAGAAGCATACCTGCAGAAGATTCTTAAAAAGTTTGGTATGTCGAATTCAAAGCCTGTTGTGACTCCGACAAACCCTTAATTCAAGCTGAGTATAGATCAGTGTCTTAGCACTGATGTTGAAAGAACTTATATGAATAGCCTTCCATATGCTAATATAGTGGGTTCTTTAATGTATGTTATGGTTTGTACTAGACCAGACATAGCATATGCAGTAAGTCTTGTAAGCAGGTACATGGTGAATCTTGGAAAGACTCACTGGAAAGCATTAAAGTGGATTCTAAGGTATATAAATTGGTCTCTACATAGAGTCATAATTTATGGTGGAGCCTTGGGTGAAGATAGTAAAGCAGCAATCGAAGGATATGCCGACTCTGATTATGCAGGTTGTATGGATTCCAAAAAGTCTATTTATGGATATGTGTTCACTATGTTTTGGATAGCAATCAATTGGAAAGCAACACTTTAGAAGTTCGTTGTCTTATCAATCACCGAAGCGGAATATATTGCCCTAACTGAAGTTGTGAAGGAAGCATTGTGGCTTGAAGGTTTTGCAAATGACCTAAAACTTCAAGGTCGAGTTATCAATGTTAAATATGATAGCCAAAGTGTAATACACCTATCAAAGAATTTAGTCTATCATGTCAACCAAGCACATTGATGTGAGGCTGCATTTTGTCAGAGGGGTAATCGAGCATCGAGAAGTTCATAATGCTGCTGATATGATCACTAAGAC